CCTGGGCCATCCTCCACTGCACTCCCTGGCCACAGCAGAGGGCTGGCCTGGAAGAGGGGCAACCGGGACAGAATCCGGCGCCCCGACCGGGACTAGAACCCGGTGTGCCGGCGCCGCAAGGCGGAGGATTAGCCTAGTGAGCCGCGGCGCCGGCCCCATCAGTTGTTTTTTAAGTACTCTTGGTGAAGTCCCAGAAAGTATAGAATTTAAGTACAAAGACAGAGCCAGTTGGACAGGAGAGGGAACAAAAAAGATATATAATGAAAATAAACAAAAAACATACACTATGGTTAAATTAATGTAAGACAAAGTAGATGCCAAGAAGCAAAATGTATTAACAGCAATAATGACATTTTATCAGGACAATGTAAGGATCCTAAAGCATTTACTTTTGAAATCTCAAAATAGACTTTCAAAAATCACTAATAAAAACCTGGCAGAGCTAGAGAGTTTTAGATACATCCACGATCCTAGTAGGAGGTTTTAAATGGCTCTAGGGATAGCTAAGCCAAAAAAGGTAGATAAATAAAAATCTGTCAGTGTAGAAGGTGCCCACCCATCAAGCACCTGAGCTACTTGGCATTTGTGAAAGAACACTACCATCAAAGGAAGAATGCACTACCTTTCCAAGAGTCCATTGAAAGGTCATCAAGATTGGCTACATGCTTTTCAACAAAATAAGTCTCAATAGAATTCAAAAGATTGAATATTACAGAATATGTTCATTGTTATAAATGAAACTAACAGAAATTAATTGCAATAATCTATATAGCAAAATTTCCAAATATTTGGAAACCAACACAAAGAACTTCTAAATAACCTGTGGATCAAAGAAAAATCACAAGAGAAATTATAAAGTATTTCAGGCCACAGTTGTGGCACAGTGGATTAAGCCATGGCCTTTGATGCTGGCATTCATTTGTGTTCTGCTCAACTTGTGATCTGGCTTCCTGCTAATATGCCTGGAAAGGTAGCAGAAGATGGCCCAAGTGCTTGGGCCCCTGCCACCCACATGACGACCCAGACAGAGTTCCAGGCTCCTGGCTTAGGCTTGGTGCAGCCCAGGCTCTCGCTGCCATTTGGGGAGTGAATCAGCAGATGGGAGAGCGCTTCTCTCTCTCTCCCTCTCTTTCTCTCTCTCTTTGTCCCTTTGCTTTTCAAATAAATAAATAAATAAATAAAAATTATAGAATATTTGAAATCAAATGATAATGAAAATTTCTGAAAATTTATGATATAGCAAAAACAATGCTTAAAGTAAAATTCAGAGCTTTAATACTTAAAAAAGAGAAAATTAATATAAATTATATAAATTTCTACCTTAAGTTGTAAAAAGAAAAGCAAATTAAATCCAAAGTATGTAAAAGGGAAAAATTGATAAAGAAATAAATGAACTATTGAGTAAATAAACTATTGAACAATAAACTATAGATAATTCATAGTCTTCTAGCAAGATGGATCTATTAGCTTTTAGTTACTATAACAAAATACCTAAGACAAGCTAGTAATGAAGGCAGAGTTGTTCTAGCTTAGTTGTGGAGCTTCACAGTCCAAGATCGGGTGGTCCCTTTGGTCCCACTGGGGCACTGGCACAGTCCTCTTGGAGGCGGTGTAGAGCAACCAAGGCAAGGGGGACTGCATTTCTATCTTTGTCTTCCATTATAAAGCCGCCGTGATTAGATCATGGGCACCCTCTGAACCACTTAATTGCTCGCTCATGTTCTCTCTGTGTCTCTCAAAATAAAATAATTGTTTTTAAAATATTGTATCAAATTATCTTCTTTTTTAATTACAGAGTTTTAAAGATGTATTTATTTATTTGAAAGTCAAAGTGACAAAGGGAGAGGGAGAGACAGACAGATCTTCCATCCATTGATTCACTCCCCAGATGCCCACAACTATCCAGGGCTGGGCCAACCTGAAGCCAGGAGCCCAGAACTCCATCTCAGTCCTCCCACCTAGGTTGCAGGGGCCCAAGGACACAGGCCATCTTCTGCTGACTTCTCAGGATGCATTAGCAGGAAGCTGGATCAGAAACAGAGTAGCTGAGACCTGAACTGGTGCTCTGACATGGGATGATGGTGTTGCTAGTGCTGACTTAGCCTGCTGTACCACAACTCTGGTTCCTAAAATTACCTTCTAACAATGTATATATATAAGGTGTATATAAAACACAAATAAATTTTGTGTTTAGGCTTGTGGCCTATCCACAAGCTATCTCATTATGTATATGCAAATACTCTACTCCTCCCCCCCCCAAAAAAAAATCCTAAATCTGAAACAAGTGTTTCAGATACAACCTGTAGAAGAGATTTGTACAGTATATTATTTGGTTCCTTTTTGTAACAAATCATGAATGCTTAACTCTGAATTTAAAAGCATTTGTTGAAGATCTACCTCCCTGGCAATGTAGTATGTATTTCTAGATGTTAGAGGGAGTACCAAAGAAATAAAAGGTATGGTATCTGATAAAAGGAGTTTGGGAGAAAAATAAAAAAACTGAAGTAAATGTAATAAGTTTCGGATGAGGTGATACCAATTCTAGGTGCAGAATGAACCCACAGAAAAAGAGAGCCATGTACGCCCAAGGTGATAAGCCAAGTGTGCAGTCACAAGCATGCACCTTGCAAAACTCCTTCTACAGGTGCATCATCAGGCCAAGGACCCCAGCTGCTGAGCTCTGAGATCCATATCAGTGTTTGTACCCAAGCCGAGGCTACCCGTGGGCTGCTCTGAGCCAATGACTAAGTCAAGAGCAGTTTAGGACTTTTCCACCTACCTTTTTTCCTTGCCTCCTTTCACCCTGGATAAACCTCACAGGTTCTTACAGCTTCCTGTGGCTCCCTCTTCATTTTCTCCTGAAGACACAATCCCTGGAGAAAGCCTACAGGGTGTTTGCTTCTTAGAGGAGAGGACCCGCACTAACAAAGCAGGCAGGGTATGGTGTGCATTCAGGTGCTCAACGTAATGAGCAAGACAGACTTCTCGGAAAGTGTGCTGGGAGGTTAGAGGGCAGGACACTTGGGGCCAGGGAAGAACTTGACCAAATGATGGAGATGGCTTGTGGGTGTGTGTCTGACGGGCAGAGAGAGGCCAAATTGGAGGCCTGGATGGGTAGAGTGGAAGGGTGGTGCATAGGATGGGTTAAAGGAGACAGAGGTGGGAATCACACAGTCAGCTAGAAGGTCAGTCTAGAGGGCTGGGGACAGAAGATACTTGGTTAAGGTTGGTGGAATGAGAGAAAGGAGTGGGATTTTAGAGGAAGAACCCGCCGGCCTTGGTGCCTGGCAGAGATGAGGGGGAAGCTGAGTTGTGGGATCTGACTGGTGCCTCAGGTCCCAGCCTCCGGAACGGAGGAGTCACACCAGGAAGGCGAAATGCAAGACGGAGCTCCTTCGGCGGAGGAAAGGGGATGAGTGCTGCCACACGCCTTCCCCTCGTGCGACAACAGTGATCTGTATAAGCAGAAAAGTCTGGTAGATGTCGGGAAATCCGGAAAGACAGCTAGGCTGCAAAGTTCATTTCGGGAGTGACCAGAATTTAAGAGAAACTGTAAGCATAGGGCACACATGGAAGAGTTGCAGCTCAAGAAACAAACTAAAAAGATTTAGAGGGAAAAATTAAAAACCGCCTCCCTTTTGGTAGGAGGCGTGGAAGCCTTCTTCGCCCAGGCTCCCTACACTGGTCTCTTCTCAGGCAGGAGGAGGCAAAGACCTGGGCAGAAAGGGATGGCCCTGCCCTTGGTGGGCCAGTGGCCACAGTCACACTTGCCACTTGTACCTAGCAAGTCACCGGAAAGGGATTTTGGCCTTGTTTTCCTCATGTGTCCTCTGCCTTGGGTTGGGCCAACACACAACAAGCTTCTTTTTGTCAGCGAAGTTCTCTTTTAAGAGGTTAGTTATTTATTTGCGAAGCAGAGACATCTGCTGGCTCACTCCCCATGCGCCCCCTAAAGGCTGGAACAGGATTGCGGTGCCAGGAGCCGAAAACTCAAACTAGGGTGGCAGGAACTCATCTGCTGACTCATCGCCTGCTGTCTCCCAAGGTTTTCATCAGCAGGAAGCTGGAAACAGGAGAAAGGGATCCAACTCAGTTGCTCCAGTGTAGGACATGAGTGTTTTAATCAGTGTCTTTCTGCTAAGCTAAGTACCCAGCCCCATGAAGCTCACTTCCCGTCTGGTCCTTCGGGCGGTCATGGAGCTCTCGGACTGAGTTCCCCTCACCCAGGCCCCATCCCACAGGACCTATGCTGACCTTGTGGTCCTACATCTACCTCTGTCCTATCTGTCATTGCCAAGTCCTCCCCTTGCCTTCCTCCAGACTTCCCTTCGAGGCCTCCACTCCTCTTACTCTGGCTCAGACATGATTTGGCTGCCAAATTCAAGCAGATCTTTAAACCTCAAAGTCACAAGTTGGTGATGCTAAGAAGATGGCAATGTCTCTAATGACGGAGTGTAGGAGGTGGGCCTTGTCAGACGTTCTTAGGACACTGGAAACATGCTTTTGGAAAGCCGTTCTTATGACAGGGTTGATTATAAAAGCCAAGTCGGGCTCTCTCTCTTGCTCTCTCTCTCTCTCTCTCTCTCTCTCTCTTTCTCCCTCCTTCCTGGCTCCCCACAAGCATGCTGTTTTGCCATGTGATTTTCTGCACTGCCTCAGGATTCTGCCAGCAGGAACCCTGTAACCAGATGCCAGACCAATGGGGTTGCCCAACCTTGGACTCCAGAACTCCAAAACCATGAACTGAAAATAAGCCTTTTCTCTTATCAGTTAGCATCTTTAGGGATTTCGTTGCAGTGGCAAAAAAGCTGACTAATACACTGTGCTACCTCGTTCTTAAAAATTTCTTCATCACCAGCTAACGCTCATCAGAGGATCCCGTGTGAGGCAGGCTGATTGGGAAAAGGCAGCTATCGCAAGATGGGTGTGTGCGACTCTGTAAGTGCGTGATGCCTTCTGAGTCACTTCTGAACCGACATCCTGACAGGCAGAGTGTCCTGGCTTCCTAAGGAACTTCAGCCTTTCTCCAGCAACCCTCACATCTATTTGACTTTCCAAGCTAATATCATGGACTTCTGATATTTCACATCCAACGCTTCCTTTTATCAGACATAACTTAAACCACTTGGATATCCTGGGAGACAGTGCAGAAAAATTTATTTAGCATGTCTTACATTTGTAGCACAATTTGGGGAACTGTAGGATGATACAAAACTTGAAAGATTTAGTTTAAGAGGCAGAAGACATAGGTAAGTGTAGGCATACATCAGCATGCTTGGCTGACATGAATAAGAGCTTTAAATGTGAGTTCTTCCCTCTTCCTACAAAGACGCCTCTTCTTATTCACATCCACAGCGACGGACCTCATGAACTGCGAACTCAATGCTGCCAGCTCTGAGCAAGTGTTCCCCGGTGACTCCTCAGCTTTTCATCCAGGTATTTTGATTTCTCTAGTACAACCTCTACCGCGTGACTCACTGTAGCTTCCTTGGGACCAGGGGCCATCTTCCTGGAATTCAGACTTGTGCATTTTGGAGCTGGCAGTCGAGTAGCATATCCAAGGCAGTGACAGCTGCGTGTCTCTGGGCTGGGCCTGCTCAGGTCACTGCAGGAGTGACCTCCAGGTTTGTTGAAAGAGAACTCCACATGTCCACTTGGGTTAAAAGGGAAGCAGAGGGGCTGGCACTGTGGTACAGCGGGTTAACGCCCTGGCCTGAAGCGCTGGCATCCCATATGGGTGCCGGTTTGAGACCTGGCTGCTCCACTTCCGATCCAGCTCTCTGCTATGGCCTAGGAAAGCAGTAGAAGATAGCCCAAGTCGTTGGATCCCTTCACCCGTGTGGGAGACCCGGAAGAAGCTCCTGGTTCCTGGCTTCTGCTCAGCATAGCTCCGGCCGTTGTGGACATCTGGGGAGTGAACCAATGGATGGAAGACCTTTCTCTCTACCTCTCCTCTCTCTGTGTAACTCTGACTTTCAAATAAACAAATAAATCTTTAAAAAGGGGAGGGGGAAGCAAAGACTGGGATTTCTGGCGTCCTATTCCTTGTTCTTTTGTGAATGCTTGGATGAATTCCTAACTCAGTTCACTAAGCCTCTAAGTATAGCAGACACCAGCATATTCAAGCTAATGAAGCTGTCGATCCGATCAAGCCCCAGGAACCCAGTCGCATACGTGATCACAAGCAGAAGAGAAAGGAAGCAGCTAGAAAGCCCACATACCATAGTTCAGCGGGAAACGCTCAGTGCATCTCCAGGCTCTCAGATGGGCACCCACTGCTTGAGGAGTCTATGCCGAAATAAGAGGGCTGACTCCTCACCTGCTGTCATATCCATAGAGCACAGTGGGCACAGGGGAGAGTGGAGAGAGTGCTGCCGGGCTTCACAGAGCAGCTCTGGAGACACAGACACAGTGCCGCCTGCGGATGTGCTGACGTCAGTGGAGAGGTAAATAGCCAGGCACATCCTAGACACCCCTGGGGCCTCCCTCGCCAACAATCCAACCCAGGAACTGGATCTGTAGCAGAGACCCCAGGCCATCAGAGGTGAGGTTGCCTAGCACGATCTGTTTAAAAGACCCAAGTCATGTCATGCATGTACGGTTTTCTTTTTAATTGACATATAATAATTGCATATTTATTTGCATATTTATAGTGTGACTTTTTTAAAAAAGATTTATTTGAAAGGCAGAGTTACAGAGAGAGAGAGAGAGAGAGAGAGGTCTTCCATCTACTGGTTCACTTCCCAGATGGCCACAACAGCTGGAGGCTGGAGCTGGGCTGATCCAAGCCAGAGCTTCCTCGGGTCTCCCACATGGTTCAGAGGCACAAGCACTTGGGCCCATCTTCCACTGCTTTCCCAGGCCATAGCAGGGAGTTGGATCAGAAGTGGAGCAGCCTGGATTCAAACTGGAGCCCATATAGGATGCCAGCATTACAGGCAGCAGCCCTCAGTGTGACATTTTAATACATACATATATACACACACACACACACACACACACAGACATGTAATGATCAGATCAGGGAGAAATACTTTTAACAGCATGAATACAATTGTTTTCAGTGTATCAGAGACAAACTGTAATTCGCTCAGAACTAGCAGCACATTCTCTCACCAGGCTAGCTATTTAGATGGGGCTCCAGCGTGCCAGCTACCGTACTCTGTGTTAAGAAGGCTGTGTCATCCTGTTTCCAGCGAGCAGTTGCTGAAGCATTCTGAGCCCAGGACTGACTGATTAGACCTGCTGTTTCTTCTGGAGATCTCTGCGGAGTAGTGCCAGCATGGGGGATGGCAGGTGAGACCTGGAGGCCAATTCGGAGGCTTTTGTAAAATTCCCAGAGAGCACGTGAGCGAGAGTGGCAGTGAGAATGTGGGGCAGGATTTAGGTTTGTTCAGGTACTATTAGGACAAAACCCAGCGACCAATTAGATGTGCAGGGAATTGGAAGTATGATTGAGTCTTGGGGAACTGATGGTGGGGAGGGGGACACCTAAGATGGAGGTGAACACCGGAGGGGTGTGGGGAGGGAGGATGAAGGCAGTCTTGGCGATAGTGAGCTGGAGGAGCCTGTGAGACCCCCAGATTAGGATGTAAGTGAGGCCTGGACTGAAGGCATGGATTTAGGGCGGCAACAGTGAACAGCTGGTTGGTGATTCCGTGGGTGTGATGAGACGTTCCACGGGCGAATGGGGAGAACAAAGCAGGGAAGAGGCACTACTGCAGAAGAGCCTGAGAAAGAGAGTGGGAAAGTTTGTCAGAGGCCTAGGAAAATGTTTCCCTCAGGCCCTTGGATTTGAAATGCCAGCAAACATAGTGCAAGAACCCTGGGACGATAAATTGCTTCTCTCCTTCAATAATTGTCTTCATTTGCATGGTCAACCAGTTTCCCTTGCGCCTTTTATTTTTCTTTCAAATAAATAAATAATGAATTTTTAAATGTTAAAGTTCATGGAAATGCACATTATGAAAAAACTATGCATAGATTTCAAAGATTTTCACACTAAAATAGCCTCACCTCTTAATCCCAATTTTTGGAAACATTTTGAAGTACTCTGGTGTTACAAGTTTCTTGCTATGGGAATTCCAACTCGAAATGACCTGTTCCCCAAGCTTTGTTTGGTTATTTGACACCATAAAGACAAACTAGTCCTACGATCTGTTTCCATGGTTACAACATAGGAATGTCGATCGCATCGTCAAAATTCTTGTGATCTGTTAGAAAAGATAATACGAAGGTCAGTCATTCCTTCCTACCGTGTTATCAGTTTGAAGGAAGGCCATCGACATGTTTTCCTAACGTGAACCAGGATGGTTAAAGTGGCTTACAAATTCCTTTTGTTATGGAATGCCAGAAGTCACGTGAAAAGGACATGACTTCAGAGTGCCCGGTTATTGGTAAACAATGTCACCTATATACGCTTTAGTGGACACTCCGGTTGGGGAGCAGGAACAGAACATAAGGAAAGAAGGAAAACTATAGCTGGGGCCAGTGCTGTGGTGCAGCAGGTTAAAGCCCTGCCTGCCGTGCTGGCATCCCATATGGGCACCGGTTCTAGTCCCAGCTGCTCCTCTTCCGATCCAGCTCTCTGCTATGGCCTGGGAAAGCAGTGGAGGCCCCTGCACCCACATGGGAGACCCTGAGGAGCTCCTGGTTCCTGGTTCAGATCAGCTTAGCTCCTGCCATTGCATCTGGGAAGTGAACCAGTGGGTGGAAGACCTCTCTCTCTGTCTCTAGCTCTCTCTGTAACTCTTTCAAATAAATAAAATAAATCTTTTTTTTTTTTAAAGGAAACTATAGCACCAGATTCAATGCAGGGATTGCCCCTGGAAACCAAAGCCACCAGCAAGGTGGGAAGCTGAAACGAAGTGCCAAGACCAGGAGAAAACAGTATGAGAGAGAGAGAGAGAGAGAGAGAATCAAAGCCACTTTTTTGTTTTTTAAATCATCACTTTTAAAATTCAAGCAGGGACCCCCCCCCCCCAAGACTAACTTAGGAACCCAGCGGAGTAGAGAATGAGAAACAGACTTGGGGGGATTGTTGAAAGCCCTTTGTATCTGAAGTTGGGCTCTGTTATCAAAGTAGGGATTTGGTGGCAGGATGAAGACTTGCATCCTCATGGTTGTAGGAGACAGGCTAATAAGAGTCATCAACAGTTCTTCCAAGACTTCTTGGCCATTGAGGAGCTTAGAAAATTCCTGAGCAGAATCTCAACGAGCCTACACTTTCTTTCCTAGCTACTCTGCAATGGCTACGTGGTACCGATAGAGAATTTATCAAGTTGATAACTGATATCAGTGCGTCAAAGAACAGCATCAAGAAAGTAAAAAGACAACGTGCAGAATAAGAGAAAATTTTGGCAATCATATAGCTGAAAAGGGCTTAATGAACTACATAAACAACAAAAAGACAAACAGCCCAATATAAAAAGTGGGCCAAAGACTTGAATAGATATTTCTTTTTTTGAAATTAGTGTCTATTTTTCATTTTTTTTTATTTGAAAATCAGAGAGAGAGAATTCTTCCCAAATGCTTGCTACAGCCAGGGTTAGGCCAGGCAAAAGCCATGAACCTGGAACTAAACCCACATTTTCCACTTGGGTGACAGGGACCCAAGTACCCCAGCCATCATTTGCGGCCTCCCAGGATCTGCAGCAGCAGGAAGCTGGGCCAGAACAGAGGAGCCAAGACTGGAACCAGGCACTCCAATAGGAGATGTGAGCATATCGAGTGGTGACGTAACCACTGCACAAACACCCACCCTGAACAGACATTTCCCCAGAGACGGTATTCAAAGAGTTCATCAGTTCAGGAGATACGCAACATCACTGGAGAAACACAAGTCAGAACCACAAGATTCCACTTCACATCACACATCAGGTGGGTGAAACTGGAACTATCACACGTTGCCAGGAGAAATGTACCTTGGCGCAGCCATTGTGGACGACAGTTTGGAGTTTCCTTAAGAAGTGAAACATGGAGTTGCTAAGCAATCGAGCAATTCCACTCCCAGAGTTATACCCAAAAGACCTGAAAACAGGAACTCAAACAGGTACTTGTTTTGGAAATAGTAGCATTATTTATTATATCCAAAAGGTGGCAACAATTCAAGTGTGTGTCTACAGATGCATCGATAAACTGTGGAATACACATACAAGGATTGCAACATAGTAAGAAAAAAAATATTTACCCATTTCCTGACACACAGCTCCCAAAACCCTTGGAATCTCAGAAGTGATGTGTCCATTTATTTATTTGAGAGACAGATAAAGAACAGACAAACAAAGCTTTCATCTGCTGGTTCATTCCTCAGATGCCTGAAATGGCCTGTACAGGGCTGGGCCTGGGGAAGCCAAGAGCCAAAAACTCAGCCTAGGTCTCCCATGTGGGTGGCAGGAACTCAAGTCGCCATCCCTGCTCCTTCTAGGGATCTACCTTAGCCGGAAGCGGCAGTCAGGAGCTGGAGCCAGGTGGTGGGGATGGAATCCAGGCCCTCTTGTGTGGATCCTGGTATTCAGAAGTCTAGGCTACATGTGTCTTTTGTATGCTCATGAGATGACTGGGGCTGGGGGCTCCTGGATGGCCCCTGATGGAGGCTGCTCGCCAAGGGAAGCGACTCTGCGGTTTGAGCTGGAACTTTCAGCCCGGACCTCTGTGGCAGGGGAGAAGGGCTGGAGGTTGAATGATGCAATCAACCATGCTTCCTAGTGAAGCCGCCACAAAAACCCCAGAGGGCAAGGCTTGGAGAGCTTCCAGGTTGCTAAATCCCTGAGATTCCCGGAGGGTGACACCCTGGAGGGAGCACCCAGGTCTCTTCCATTCGGTTATTCCTGCATCGCAGCCTTCACGACAAACTGACACGCGGGGGTGAAGTGTTTCCTGAGTTTTGTGAGCTGGTGTAGCAAATGATACAGCCAGGGGAGGATTGGAGGGAACCTCACGTCAGGAGTGCCGGTGACAACTGGGGACTTAGGGCGGGGGAGAGGGAATGGGGAGCAGGTGCTTCGCAGGCACAGTTTCAGTTTGGGCAGATGAACGTGGTTTGGAAATAGGTAAATGCTGATGGTTGTGCAACCCTGCAGAAATACTTAGCGTTGCTTCCTGAATTGTACACTTCAGAGAGGTTAAGACAGCAGCAAATTGTATGTTATGTTTGCTTTACCACAGTTTTAAGGCTTCCTTATGTAACATTCCCCAGACCACTGTACGCTTTAAATGAGTGAATTGTATGGTATGTAAATCCCATCTCAATAAAGCTGCTAAAAACAGAGATTTAAAGCAGAGATCGATTTGATGAAAGGTCAGCCGGCTCCGAGCTGTGCAGCATGGGACCCGCCAGAGGGGGCGCACTCCGGTGTTGGCCGCGGCTGCGGATCAGCCGCCGCGCGCGCGCGGAGCAGCAGGTTCTGGCCCGGAGGTTTTCTGATTGCAGCGCGGTATTTACTTTTAAAGACATTGCTGAGCTCGGCAGGATTTCCTACATCTCTGTCTATTTTGCTTGGTATCCACTTTCTTGCAAAAATGGACAATCGAGATAAAGAAAACAAAAGGTCCGCTTGCTGCTCGGTTCACCCCAAAGCAAAACAAATTTCTTTCCAACCTTTTTTAATAGAAAACAATGCCAGCCTAATCAAGAAGTGTTTAAGATACTCCAAAGACAAGCAGGCTTCTCCAGGGCAAGAGACTTTGTGCCTGTGGGATGACCAGGGTGCGCATCTCCCGCGGCAGAATCCCTCAGGGCGCTTGTCAGCCTGGTGTGACATCTGGGGTCTCCATTTTTTAACCAGCACCCCTACTGGTTTCTAGGCACTGGTGTAAATCCTTCTGCTTTCCACATATTGCTAAGAGGTTGCAGGCCTGACTCTAAAATTAGTGCGCAATCTTTTAAAAAAGGTATTTATTTATTTGAAAGACTGAGTTACAGAAAGGACAGAAGAGCCAGAGAGAGAGAGAGAGAGAGAGAGAGAGAGAGAGAAAGGTATCTTTCAGCTGCTGGTTCATTCCCCAAATGGCCACAATGGCCGGAGATGGACCAGGCTGAAACCAGGAAACTGGGATTCCATCCAGGTCTCCCACATGGGTGGTAGAGCCTAAGCACTTGGACCATCTTCCACGGCTTTCCCAGACATGTTAGCAGGGAGCTGGATCAGAAGCAGAGCAGCTACTCCTGGATCAGAAGCAGAACTCCTGTTGTCACGGGAGGCGACTTAACCCTCTGTGCCACAGTAGTGACCCCTACTGATCTGTCTTACAGAGTAACCTCACGTGCAATGAGCCTTTTATATAACTCCCTCTGCTGTGGTTTAAACTGGTCCCCCAAAGTTCCTGTGTTGGAAACTTGATCCCCAAATTCCTACGTTAACCACATTTGGAGGTGGGGTCATTTGGGAGGTAAACAGGTTTAGGTGCAGCCATGTGTGTGGAACCTCAAGTTAGCAGCAGTGGCCTTACAAGGAGAGGAGAGCCCGGTACTGGTGCACCTGCTCCGACTTACCGTGTGCACTGCCCACCATATTACCATGTGGTGCCAGGCCCTTACCATATGCCAGTGCCATGCTTTTGGGCTTCCAGAACCATGAGCTTCACCTCTGATCTTCAAAACCTCCCTAGTCTGTAGTATTCAGGTCCAGCAGCACAAAACGAACCAACACACACACACACACACACACACACAGAGCTCCTTGTGCCTGGGTTTTCCTAGGCTGGGACCCAGTTGTATCCTTGATCTGACCTTGGGCCCAAGCATCTGCATCCTGCCCAGAAAGGCTGTGCTAGGGTCATTTCCCAAACTCTGATCTGCAGCGGGGGACCACGCGAAACAACAAGGTCTTTCCCCCTGACGGCCCAGCCCTGGGGTTGCCTGCATTATTGTAGCAGCGCGGATGAGGGCTCGCGGAGGTCCTGTCGCACGGGTTCTGTAGATGTCAGACCGGGACTGCACACGGGGTGGAACTTTTGCTGCTTCCGGCGCTTCCTCGCTCTCGGCTCTCACAGTGCATTCCTCCCACCTGGGGCACCGTTGAGAAGAGCTTTGCCTGCTGCACACCTGCCTCTATGAAGGCCTCATCACACGGCTTCCTGAAATGGTTCCCCTCAGCTGTGTTCTATTTATTCATTTACTTTCCTTTTTGTTATTTATTTGAAAGGCCAAGTTACCCAGAGCAAGCCATCTTCCATTCCACTGGTTCACTGCCCAAACGGCCACAGTGGTAGGGGCTGGGCCAGGGTGAAGCCAGGAGGCTGGAACTCCGGCTGGCTCTCCCATGTGGCGGCCCATGTGCTTGGGCCATTGTCTGCTTTCACAGGCACGTCAGCAGGGGGCTGGGTGGGAGTGGAGCAGCTGGGACTTGACCTTGCACTCACATGAGATGCTGACCTTGGCTTCACTTGCTGCATCACAGGGCCGGTCCCTCAGCCATGGTTTAGAAGGAAATTTTAGGGGCCGGCACTGTGACACAGTGGGTAAAGTCGCCGCCTGCAGTGCCAGCATCTCATATGGGACTAGTTTGAGTCCAGGCTGCTCCATTTCCACCACTTCCGCTCCAGTTCTCTGCTATGGCCTGGGAAAGCAGTGGAAAATGGTCTGACTCCTTGGGTCCCTGCACCCACATGGGAGACCCAGAGGACGCTCCTGGCTCCTGGCTTTGGATCAGCTCAGCTCCAGTCATTGTGGCCATTTGGGGAGTGAACCAGTGGATGGAAAATTTCTGTCTCTGCCTCTGTCTCTCTATATCTCTGCCTTTCAAAGAAATAAATCAACCTTAAAAAAAAAAAAAAAACTCATCTTAGGGGCCAGCGTTGTGGCACAGTTGGTTAAGTTGCCACCTGCAATCACATATGAGCACCAGGTTGAGACCCAGCTGTTCCCCCCCCCCCCTTTTTTTTTTGACAGGCAGAGTGGACAGTGAGAGAGAGAGAGACAGAGAGAAAGGTCTTCCTTTTCCGTTGGTTCACCCTCCAATGGCCGCTGCGGCCGGCACGCTGCGCTGATCCGAAGCCAGGAGCCAGGTGCTTCTGGTCTCCCATGCGGGTGCAGGGCCCAAGCACTTGGGCCATCCTCCACTGCACTCCCTGGCCACAGCAGAGAGCTGGCCTGGAAGGGGGCAACCGGGACAGAATCTGCTGCCCCGACCGGGACTAGAACCCGGTGTGCCGGCGCTGCAGGTGGAGGATTAGCCTATTGAGCCGCGGCACCGGCACTGCTCCCCTTTCAATCCAGCTCCCTGCTAATGTGCCTGGAAAAGCAGTAGAAGCCCCTTGGGCCCCTGCAAGCATTTCAAAGACCCAGATGGAATTCCAGATTCCTGGTTTTAGCCTGTCCCAGTCCAGCCATTGTGGACATTTGGGGGAGTGAACCAATGAATGAAATCTCTCCACCCCACCCACCATAACTCTTGCCTTTCAAATAAATCTTTTTTTTTAAAAAAAGATTTTATTTATTTATTTGAGAGGTAGAGTTACAGACAGAGAGAGGTAGAGACACAGAGAGAGAGTCTTCCATCTGCTGGTTCACTCCCCAGATGGCCACAATGGCCAGAGCTGCACCGGATCTGAAGCCAGGAACCAGGTACCTCTTCCCAATCTCCTACATGGGTTCAGGGGCCCAAGTCCTTGGGCCATCTTCTACTGCTTTCCCAGGCCACAGCAGAGGACTAGATTGGAAGAAGGGCAGAACTGGCGCCCATATGGGATGCTGGCGCCACAGGCAGAGGATTAATCCACTGTGCCACGGGGCCAGCCCCTCAAATCAAACGTTCTGAACTCTACTAGGTACTTAAGTACTGAGGTCTCAGCAGCGAGCCAGGCAGACCTGGCGCTGCCCTGGCAAATCCTTCTGGATGGAGTGAGTGGGCCCAGATGAGCGGTCTAAGTAGGGGGAGACCCCGAATCCAAATGACCCTCGACCCGGCCCATTCCCCAAAATACAGAGTTCACTGAATTCAGGAGTCTTCGTATCTGTCCTTTGCCCTCTGAGAGAAAAGATCTTTCTGGCAAATAAGACAAAACGAGAAAGCTATTAGAAGGAATCTCAAACACTCAAAACCGCTTGGATGCATAACGGAAAACTTGGCAACCCTGGGAAGATTCTAACTGCTGGGCTGCGTTTGTGGCTCCCCCTCCCCCGGAAGTGCAGACACCTCCCTTCTCCAGCTACCTTTAGGGAGCTGATGGTGTCCTTCCTAGGCGCGGTCTTGCTGCGATCTGATGGGGGTGGGGGGTGGCAGCCGTAATGAGCCCTCTGGGACACGAGGCGACTCCCTGTTGGTGACATTCTGATTCTGGGGAACCTCTTATGTCCTCCAGAGATTCTTAAAGGCACATAAAGTTGCTTTCACAACTGCTTATGGTTTGTGAAGGAAATACAGGGGCCCTTCAAAGAGCTCATGGAAAAACGAGGTGAAAAGTGAATTTTGATGCAAAAAACATTGGCAATCCGTGCATGGTTTTCCATAATGTGCATTTTCCTTGGACTTTTTGAAGATTCCCCTATACATGGGTTTCACCTTTTTTACACCAAAAAAAAAAGAGGTTTACCTTTTAACTCCATTTCTTGATAAACTTTCTGAAGTACCCTCATCTCAGCAACAATTTGTAGCTGAGTCTGTGATCATCAAACTGATGGCTGTTGTCACAGCATCGTTACCAACAGGCAGGTGCCTTGGTTACCACAGGCTAACGGCAATCTTTTCAATCGGGAAACCCGAACATGGAGGCCTCATTTCACACACACGACCATGAGAAAGGAAAACCGTGAGCACGCTGGGTCAGCATTTGCTGTAGTACCAGGGAGTTCAGCAGGCCCATGTGACACACTGGGGGTCAGTCCTGCCCGTAGAGAGACGCAGGGAAAGTAAAGACAGTTGTCACTTCCATTTATCCCAGCATCTCCTTAACCATCTGTTGAAAAATATTGATTGAGGCAAAACTCCAAAAGCCTGTATATTCTTAGTAATGATGCGATTGTTTCACGAGGGGCTTGCACTTGTCTTTCCCAGTTGGCTCTTGAACTAGGAATGGAGGTCTCTGCTTTGGCAATGCCTCTGAAGAGAAGGGGCTGCCTCCTTGGACAGATGGTATACAACTATGACATGCCCGGCCTCTGTCTGGTCTCGTGCTCAGTGCCTTATATCCTCTCATTTAATCCTGTAGCAATCCTTTTCCAGGTAGGGGAGTAGCACTCAGGGGCAAGAGGTGAAGCTGGGATCTAAACCCAGGCTTGTCTGGCTCTGTCATTCTGGTTGCCCAGAATACAGTAAATCCACGTGCAACCTAAAGCTGAGGGCAGATGGAGTGCAGGGCTGCCAGGGAGCCAGGGCTGCAGGGCAGGTGGCACTAGAAACCCAAATGCTGAG